CTCTCCCATCTCATGGGCCCAGTCTGGTTCCCCTCAAGACCCCAGCAAGCAGTAGCTTTGCTGGGCTCACAAGTTGGAGGGGGGGCTCTGTTCCCTCCCCCTCCTGTCCCAACAGGTATAACAGCCTCTGTTGCTGTTAAAATGCTCACAATGGTGGGGGAGGGATAGGAGTCCCTCCCTGCTGTGCAGATACCTCCCCCCAAGAACCTAGGAGGGGTAGCTAGAGGGGGAGCATCTGGGGGGGAGCTCCATCGCCCTCCCCACCCAGCTGCTGCTGACGGTTGCCAGCTGGTAGCAGGGGGTGTGGGGACTGTGGAGAGAAGGGTGATCCAGCAGCCCTCTGAGCGGCCTGAGCTTTGATGCAGCCAATAATTTAGAAAGCTCTTGTCAAGAGTGCCTGTAAATTTTCTTTGATGCCACTAATAAATATTTTTCTTCTTCTTTTTTCTAGTATTATCAATGGTTTTGCTTTACCTCTGAAGGCAGAGCACAAACAGTTTCTGGTGAAGGTGCTGATTCCTTTACATACTGTCAGGAGTTTATCGCTCTTCCATGCGCAGGTAGAAATTACAAAGCTATTTTTTGCTTGTTTAGAACAAGAAAGTGCTCTTGGTTTGCTTTTGGAAATCCATTGCTTAAAGTCTAAATAGGAGGGAAAGGTTTTTAAAGGAAGAAGCATTTTACAAATAAGCATGTCCTATTTCAGTAGCTGGGGGTTTGTTAAAAAACATAGGTTTCACACCACCCTTAGTAAAACATGTCAAATATTTTAGCTCTGAAACTATTCAGAATCTCTTCCCCAATCCCCAGTCTTTCTCTCTCTCTAACTAGGTACTTCTTTACACTCTCTTCTTCTCTGCACTTCTGTTTTAAACCTGTCCTGATCTTTGCACTCTCTTTGGAGCCTGTTTCAGTAGCAGAAGACCTATCACATTCATTCTTTGTTCAGGCTCAAAATCTCCCTTTGGTGCATTTAGCTGCCACCTCTTCTTTTTTTAGGCCTGTTCTGTAGAAGCAATGCCCATCTTCCTACTCCCTGGTGCCAGGAAGTGCCCTCTTCATTTTAATGCTGATACAGCTTTGTTTGCTTAATCTATTAAGCCAGATTTTGGCTGTAGTAGGTCATCTCATATGAGCTGTCATGATGCTATGCTGCCAAAAGTGTAAAAGAAACATTCACAGAACAATGAGCCTCTCAAAACACTGGTTTTTTTGGTGTACAGATGGAACTCATAACATTCAAATTGTTCCAAAATGTACTTGGATGTGCTCTTTCTTTACTTTTTGTTTGTTATAATAGCTAGCCTGTTGTTTCTTTACTGTAAACTAGAATTTGGATGGAGTATTCCCCTGTGCTTCAGGTTAAAATGGGATAATATTTAAATAAACTATATTTATTTAAATTTAAATATGTTTTTACTCTCTCTGGATTTTTAACCATGGAATATTTTCTTTTGAGTTCCTTGAGAAAAATGTCCTAATTTTTTTTCTCTTCTTCACAGCTGGCATATTGCATAGTACAGTTCTTGGAGAAAGATCCTTCACTCACAGAACCAGTAAATATTTATTTGGTATTTTGATAGCTGAAATGTCTTGTACCCAATTATAACATTTTAAAATTAAAATTTGCTTTCTTTTTAATTTAGGTCATTAGAGGCTTAATGAAATTCTGGCCAAAAACTTGCAGTCAGAAAGAGGTAAGTTGTGTGTCTGTACTGAAATGTGATTGTGAAATGAACCTAATAATTCCACAGATTAAAACTGAAGATATTTGGAGCAACCTCCAGATTTTTGGCTTTGGATATGACACACAGTTCTCTTAAGCACTGTACTGGACTTGGTCATTGGTCTAACGAATACTCATCAAACTTATGATTATTCATATTTGAACCCTTTTTTTTTTTTGAGATAATGTTAAATGTTCAGGTGAAGCATCAAGCTAATGCCACTTGTGGTCTCTGTTATAAAAATCATATGTTGATATAAATGTTATTCCACAAGGGGGAGTGATTTTTCCATATTAGGAGCAAAAGTGAATCTTGTGGGCATATATGGAAAAATTCTGTTTAAAAATTGTAGGAGCATGAGTGTCAGTTAGCTAAGAGGTGAGTGTCAGAGCTAAACAGCAGCGGGCTAAAGAGGCTATTGGCAGTTTACATTCGCAGCCATGCTTGTATCCGCCAAGCATGTAATTACATACGCAGATGGACATTATCATTATTTGTTCTTGCACATCCTGGTTTAAACCATGATAATTTTTGACACCACAAGAAGAGTTTTCTGGGTCCAGTAGATGTTTAGCTGAAGATGTCATTTATTTTACGGGTAAAATTCTAGCCATAGAAATCAATGGGAGTTTTGCCATTGTCTTCAGCAAGGCAAAGATTTCAACTTGGATATACTAGTAGGACATCTAGATTCCTTAGAGCAAGGAGTTGGGACACTTAGGATGGGGAGCCAGTGCCAGCATCCCCCCCACTGCATTTGTGTGTAAATCTACCACTAGGCACATCCACAAGTAATAACAGGAGAGAGATTTTAGATTTTAGAATTAATCACTCATTTATACCAGACATCTGGGGTTTGATCCTGTGAGATAGCAAGCACTTTCAACTTCAGTTGAAGTCAGCATGAAGTGCAGAGCATCTTGCAGATCCAAGGCTTTTAACCTCAAGTCGGATGAAATCTTGTCTTTCCCCAGTCCCTTTTGGCCACTCTTCCTGTGACATCTGTTACTACTGCACCTATTCTTGGAAACTTCACAGATATATTGAGATCAAACAAGTTTGTGAAGGATACACCTACATAGCACAATGGAGTGCCATATAGAAATACTTGAGCTAGCTTTGAAGAAGCCAGCTCAGATGCAAGAAGCAGTATATACAGGACTAAATAGCCCTACAGAGAAGTTATTGAACAGGGTGGAAGGAAGAGAGCTGTACTAATGTATGCAAGCTCTTTCAGCGACAGCTCAGGCCTCTCTGCATGGCCCTGCATTATGCTTTGTAGACGGACTCTGAATCCCAAAGTTGTTCCAATACCTGCTTAGACTTTTGCTGTCAAACAGTGGCATTGCATGCATGTAAAACAGGAATTGGCAACCTTTTTGCCACTTTAGGCTGCTGCTCAAAACCAAGCCCTGGCCATGCGCTTCAGCCCTTTACCCCCTGGCAATCAGACCCTGGGCTTGCTGCCTCTGCAACAGGAAAAATCTTGACACGAACATGGCAGGTACAAGGACCCTGGGGACACTGCTGCCAATGCCGGGTACATGCTGCCAATTCCCGATCTACTGTTGGCTGGATCCAGTCTGCGGGCCATAGGTTGCCAAGCCCTGATATTAGTAAAGGAATGTAGCAGTAGCTTGTATGCAAGAAAGAATATGATGCTTTATATTGTTCATAGCTTTAATGCAGCTATTTCAGATTAAAATCTCACAACACTCAGACACTGAACTTTCAACACATGAGTAGTATTGTTGACTTCCATGTGACTGCTTTGTTGAATAAAGTTAAACATGAGTGGAAGTACTTGCAGGATTACAGGATACGTTTGGTGTTTTTATATGGTCTCTGAATTTGTATGGGTTACCTATAGGTGTATGAATATAATGATCAATCCAAGTGCAGTGCTAACCAACTAGAAAAAGGACCCCTTCCTTAATTCTCTTTAGTTTCACAGTACCAGCTTTTTAAAAAATGTTCTCTAATTCTGCTTTTTCTCTTAATTATACAGGAATGCTAACATTTATATGCTCTAACTACATGACTTGATCAATAAATGAAAGGCATAGCTGCCTTCCATTGTGCTTGCAAACTCAGAGCCTGAGTTGATGTCCGTTTCAAAACTCAGCTATTTCAGATACAGTAGTTGAGTTCTGACCATAAGGATGTAGGCAGATGTAACAATCATAGCCATATCAAAGTATATAAGTAGGGACCTATTTAATTCAGTTTCATGGATTTTGCAGTTTCAGCAAAATCCAGGATTTACCGCAAAATCTACAAAAACGCCCCCATCCTTAATAAAAATTAAATGCTTGCTCCCCAGTGGGAGCCAGCAGTCCTTGCTGCCAGGGGAGGGAGGTGCCAGTCCCTGCTGAGAGGCATGGCTACACCAAGTGCAGCCAGCATCAAGGTGGCAGCCACCTTCTTGCCCTTCCTCCTCCCAGGCCTCCCTGCCAGTCAGTGCCAAGGGGTGGGGCTGCCACCAAATGACTGTAGAATTAGAAACATGTCACAATCAACCCCCAAAATTGGTAAACATGGTTTAGGTAGACCCCTAGATACAAGCTATGACAAAGGAGCTGCATGATTCTTTGGCAGATCTGTAGCTGGACCACTCTGTCTTTAACCATGCTTCTTTCAGGGTCAGTGTTAGAGCCATTTAGCTAATTTTATCACTAGGGGGTCACACAATAACTGTTAGATTGTAACAGTTGCTGCATACTCCTGAGCAGCAGTTGTCCTTCCCTTTTCAAAGCAGCTAAAAAGTATGTTTATCCTGACCCTTTCATGCATTTACTTATCTTTGCCTTCAGGTCATGTTCCTCGGGGAGCTAGAAGAGATCTTGGACGTGATTGAACCTTCACAGTTCGTCAAAATTCAGGAGCCCTTATTTAAACAAATTGCCAAGTGTGTGTCCAGCCCTCACTTTCAGGTCTGGAAGACCAGTAATTTATCTTGTTTTTTTTATCTACATACTTCCCGAGATCCTATGGATGTGCAATATTAGATGCCAAGAACTGACGTTGTACCATGCTGATCGGAACACGTTTGCTCTTGGTGTATCTGTAGACTTGCATGTAAAAGTCTATTAAAGCAGCAGTCCCTCAACTCTGGGATTTTGAAATGGGGAAGGAGGGAAAGCCTTTCCCATGGGGTTTTCTCTGATACCCACTTAAAGGAGGCTTTAAGCCACAGTTGGGCTTTCCTGATTATAGGCTCCACCAAGGACTGAGCCTTTGCATAGACCGTTCTGAGGGATTGCATTAAGCTGCCTTGGCCTCTCTCTGCTTCCTTATGGCAGGCAGTGTTGCTTACAGTCACCGTAGTGCTGTGCTCTTTGACTTGGTTCCCAGTGCACATACCTGTCTGTGCTGAGGCTTGTGAAGGATTCTTGGAAGAGTCTTCTGACTCTCTTCTATAGTTCATTTGCTGGTGGATTCTGCCTGGCAGCTCTAAGGCTTCAGGAGCCCCTTTTCCCTGTTCCAGCCCCTTTATATGTTATGAGGGGTTAAAATGGGGGAGAGGATCTTGCTTCAAATGATTTAGGAACCAGATCATGCCAGTTATTGAGCATATCCATACTCTTGGCTGTCTTTGACTTCTCTGGAAGTCAAAGCTTGGAGCACTCCATATTGTGCTCTGTGTCTGTCTTGCGTTTAGGTGTCAATCATTTTCTTAACTAGGTGAAAGTTTGCAAGGAACTCAAGCACAGAATGTTTGTACCTTAATTTTAACAATCTTATTTTAAATATACTTGGAAGACTATCTTACTAGGGCGGTGTAAAGCTTCAGTCGCTGATTCACTTTGGTGGAGATTTGGCCCATTCGGTGGCCAAATCTCGGAATCCAAATTGAATCAGGAGACCCTTTAATCTCTCCGAATCGAGTGAGAACCCTCTGAATCAATACAGAGAGATTCAACAGTTCGGCCATAGACATGGCTTTATATGTTTTTTCTACATACCTGGAGGTACCAGAAGTGGCTCGTGAATGCTGAGATGGTGGGGTGGATGGAGCATCCCACAGGAGAGTTGGGGGGGGTCCCC